CATCTCTGTGATAAGTATACAAATAATACTCTGCAAGTAACAAACACTTTGAACAAATCAAAATTCAGAACCTTTATTTATTACCTTTTAACAGCTTTTTTTTAGTCACCTCTTATTTTTTTGTTTTTAATCATCATTTCATTCAGTTCACTCTATCATTCAATGGTTTCAACACTAAAGTCATTCGAAACAAATATTAAATCGATAAAGGTAAGTGGCAGAATGGTTTATTTCTTGAAGAATGTTTAGAAGTATACATTCAACTAATGTTATTATTGTTATGTATTGTATTTTGCATGTCGTTTCTCTAGGCTTACGGCCTGCTTCTTCTTTCGATTATAAACAGTAAATGCCAGTTAAAGCATGGAACACAGTACTATAAAACTCACCAGCTTAGCCCATTTAATTTTATTCCATTTAGTTGGTTAGGTAGTTTATATCTAAAAAATGGACAGTATATTACATTGTACTAGCCCTGCTTTCGCTGGAGTCTTCAATATGGTTGCACCTTCTGCCGGAATTTTATTTTATTTGGTGTTGTGCTGGTGACAGGTAAAGCGACAGTGAGTAATACGATATACGTGTGTGCATATCATTTAACAGAAAATTTATGTTAAAACAAGATATCTGGTTCACGTAACTCCAGACCTAATTGTGTTTTCCTCATTATTAAATTACACGTTTCATCCTTGGTTGTTGATCAGTAAAGGATAATTTATATGTTTGGCCTTATATTAGAAATTTACACTCAAAGAGGAAACATTCAATGTAATTTCACTGATAGGTAGAATTTCAGTATAGATAGATATAAAATAACCGTATATAACGTGTGCTCCAAGTAAAAAAAAAATGCCTCATTGCGAGGGTTGCGTTATTAAGTTAAATTACCAAAAGCATCTTAAATGTGGAATTGAAGAAAACTAAATCAGTTATGAGTTCAAGTTGCAGTACACAAAATTCTACAGTTAATAAAAAACAGAGAGAAATGCTGCCCAGTCGTCATTGAAAAAGTAAACGACAAATTTTGACTCGTGAAACACTTTCATGGAACCAAAAACAATCACTTCACGGTACGTTTAACGATATTTATTACCAGTTGCTCTCTTTCGTGAAAGATGGCAACTGATAGCTTATGTTGTAGGAATGAGGCTGGGGTTATAGTACGAAACTATCCAACAACAGTGTCAGAAAGTTAAGTTTAAGTGACGTCGGTTAAGTCTAACATTTCATCAGATCTTTACATTATACCCACATAGACACATAAGTCCGTAGTTATAGCTATGAAGTAGAAGTTATGACAAGCATAATAAAGTTTTATTTTAACGCTACAACGCATTCACATGCACACAGTTGCTTCGTTTTCTTAGTTGTATTTATATTCTTTGAGCTAAAGTTTCATGTTTATATTTGTATACATATATATGCACACACACGTATATATCTAATGATGAACGACACAATCACAGGAGCAACATATTTATTAAACGTTTCAGACTATACACATTCCATATTCATTAAATTCTTAAACTTTTTTTTTTCATTTCTCATAGTCCTTGCGGACTAAAGCTGTTTCTTACGTCAAGGATACAACCCTCTTGACAGCCTTCCCTCTTTGACAGCCTTAACCACCTGGCCATGCCGGGCCCTTAAACTAAATACAAAACAATAATTACAAATATCTAGTAAGTATGTAGAAAAGAAGTTTTCTACAAATCAATGAGGAAAGACGTGTAAAAATGAGTAAATGAATTTGGATATAAATTCATAATAAATAAATAAGTTAATGTAGCTATATCGCTTATGAGAGATAATCACAAAAAAAAACGTATTTCAGCAGAAATTGAGTTATTATTTATGTTTGTTTGTAGTTGAGCACAAAACTACACAATGGACTATCTGTACTCTGCCCACCACAAGTCTCGAAACCCGGTATCTAGCGTTGTAATTCCGCAGACATATCGCTGTGCCACTGGGTAAAGTATAATTTTGTCAATGTAGGAAGCAACGTATGACTAAACAATCCATAATGAAGAGGTATTGTATGTAATCCTTCGAGTGAAAAAATATGTTTTATTCAATAAGATGGTTTAAAAATAATTCCCAGTTTAATCTGGGTGTAATATTTATATAACAGTTTAGTAGGTTGAAACCTAAGAATTAAGCATAAATACATGGGCATTTAGGTACAGTAATACCCTTCATATTGCTGAGTGTGTTGATTCTTTATTTAAAAAAATCTCACGAGATGATTTTGGGAAAAGGTCCTACATACTCATTTTGTTTAAGAGAAAGATGCACAAATTTTATTTCGTTGTGTAAGAAGAAGTAATGTTACACACTCTAGTGATGAGGTCACTCTCGTAGGTTTTATTACAGTATTTGTGTGTAGAAAAAACCGTTAGAGTCACGACTTATAACGATATTTAGAAAGGGCAGTTTAAGGATCTTCTCATTTTCACAAGTGAAATTTACTTGGGGGTGAAATGAATTTAGGTATTCTAGAAATTGAGGTGCAATTACTAGCTGCGTGTTTTTTTTTCTGAAAAGATTAGAGAGGCAGATGTTGATTGCTTCATTAACAGAAATGTTGGTAAAAAGTGAAGTTATATCAAAGCTAGACTTACAGTAATGTTAATGGGAAGGGAGGGTGGTGATTTCATTGACAAAAGAGCTTGAGTGGTGGATGGTAAATGGTTGTAATAAGATATTTAGATAATTCATAGGAGTGTGTGTGAGGACAGTAAAAATATAGATATAGAAGGCAGATTCGAGTTGGTACTTAAGGAAAACCATATAATATATAAGGTCAGGAACAACAGAGGTAAATTTGATTAAAATTAGTTTGGTGGATAGAGTTTGTCATTTTAAAATTTCTAAGGATACGTTGAACTTTTTCTTCTCCGTGAAGGGTAAGGTCAAGAAAATCTGTGTAAGAAATCTAAATTTTTGTGAAGTCAGATAAGATAAAGCTCGCCTTATCAGAACAACTCCATCACCTTTCTCAGGATGGGAAACAGTAATGTCAGTAATATTAGCACGTTCTTTTAAAGCAGTGAATTAATAAAAAGGAAGAGCAGGTATAGGCTTGGTATAGCTGTAGAAAGGCCGAGTTTTTATTATTATGTGACTTAGATTCTTGAGGACTGGGGGCATAGTATTGGATGTAGTGTAGTTAAAATATTTGAAACTGCTGTATACTACATGTTAAGTTTTTCTTAATATGTGAGGTACACTTACCTATTTATTTATTTTGAGTTAATATTCAAGTTCATTACTACTTTTTACATGTTTCCATCTCCTTTGAGGTCCATATTTTTGTACAAATGTTTATGATTGCACAGAAATTTCCATTACATATTCATGTTTGTCATTTGTAATTATTGTTTTACTGTAGAAAATGTTTGAAGATGGAATATGCGCGGATCCTGAAACGTCCAATAAATATGTTATTATTCGTTGCTTCTGTGTTTGTTTTGTTCATCATTAAATTGCGTTTTCCCCTCGGAATCTGTTGCTAGTATAATTATCTATTCGTGGAGCCGGAACCTTCAAACAAATTCAACGAAGACTTACTTAGAAAAGTTCGATATTTTTTGAGAATAATATGTGTTTCAGATTATGAAGAGCCTTAAATATAATTTGATATCGAACCAAAATTCTATTCTAAAGGCCAGACTGACGGATTGAAGGACCAATGCAAAAAGGCAAGTGTTTTGTAGCGGCTTTTTATTTGTTTACCATTTTTTTATACATTTAGTTAATCAATTGCCACAAAAACATTTATTAGTATGAACTACTACGTCCAAAACTATAAACATAAGAAAGATAGCATCTCAAACCATTAGTATGTATGTACTGAAGGTACTTCAGCCAAAAGTTATGCAGAATTTGATAAATTGTTCATTTTGAAATGCATGAACACAATTAGATGTCTTTGTAGCTCACAGAAAAGATAATTTTATGTTGTGCACCAAAAGAAAAACCAACATGATTATAAAGCTTTACGTAATTATATTTTCTATCGAATAAATACAGTATTTCTTGTTACGAATACAGGTGGTGAAAATCATATAAATCACTCCCCTGCGACTTTATTGGGAACTCTCTATGTGTGTGCTTTACTATGGCGTTTCTACACCTTCGCATACACGTTTTCGGCTGTAAAGATTTTAGCTACAATACGATATACATTTGGACCACTAACTGTAACTGTAATCACCCATGGGAAGCGTTTCGTACATTGCGGGTTTACGACGCCAAATAAAAACAGAAGTGAGGTTGAAAGCTCGCTTATATGTTATCTTCAGACTGATTTGTCTAAGGCCAGATCTCTAATTAAAAATAATAATTAGGACAGAAATGTTTCTCAAATGTAAGAAACGTTAAAACAATCAATATTTCTCAATTAAAACAGTTGCTTACATGTCAGTTATGTAATTCAAGATAATAAGCTTACAGAGAATTAAGTTACTCAGTTTTTCAAGAAATAAAAAAACAAGAACTTAATTTTCCAACATCTTTTCTTCTATAAGCGTTCCTAAAATTCCAAAATTATGATATCGAAATTTACAATATAACAATTCTATTTTAATAACTTTTTTCCATATAAGTCTAAAAAATATTATACGAAATTAATACCATGATATTAATGACAACGAAAAAGCTGTTAAACTATGCAGCTAAGTTATTTTAAACTATTTTAAATCTATATATACTTAATGGTATTCATTTTAGTTCAGAGTGTGTTAAATCTAAACCTTCGTTTTTGATAAATAAATAAATTAAGTAAGTAAAAAATAACAAAACACATTTTTAATAATATTGGAGATTTTATCTCTGTGGCCACAACACTGCCATAGCCCACCAAAAATATAAATTGGACTTTGACAGTATTTGACTTTGGTTCAAAAGTTAGGCCTTTAGATATTATGCATTTTAATTATCCCTCTTTTATTTCAAGAAAATTGGATAAAGAAACTACATAGAATAATCTTTACTACCTTCTCATTCTCACACTGTATAAGACCTTGTCACGAAATTTAGAGACTTTTCTCAATCCTTACTGCAGTACTAAACACTTTGAACAACACCTTCCTATAGTAGACAGTTCTCTCTTCGTCTGACTCCAACTACGCGTTGTTCACAACTGCCCAAACCACGAGCCGTCAGCCTCGTGTCTTGCTAACCTTTCTATTTCAGATCAATCCAGTCTGCTAAGAAAGAGGACGCTGTAGCAAGAGAGCTAGCGACAACGATAGAAATTAAAGTTGTTACTTTGCACTACACCAAAAACACATGCATACACCCACAACTCATGTACATATATATATAAACGTTTTCTTCTTTTGTTTCCATATTGGAAGAAAATATATGTAGTATGAGAAAGACCAGATGGTGCCCAACTGTTGGTGGAGGTTGAACATATGCAGTAACCCGATATATGCATGTGGCAAAATGAAACAGTTAAATGCTTTGTTGTAGGCCATGTTCGCTTAGTGCTCGAAGCTATATACCAAACTTATTGCACCAAGTTATATTGGCAAACCTACAGGACATTTTGGTACCTGCTCACTTATGTGAATAAAAGAATGTTAAATGTGGAGTTTACCTACAAGTTAACAATAATTTTACATATTTTGTTTTATTTAAGTCTTATCACTACATATTAATAATACATAATTTACTTGTGTTTTGTTTTGTTTCTTATGTATTTGTGATAGGTCATATTTTATCATAAGAAACACACCGGTTTCAGTGATATCCATGTACAACATTCTGTGAAATGGAACACCGCTTTGCTAGCACCTGACCGTGGATTCTTAACGTATTTATCAGTTTAATAGTTCTCTATAGCTAGGTTATAGGAGTTTGTTTAATTGTGAAACCAGTACGAAAGTTTCTAAGTGGATTTGGGTTGTGGATGTCAATCAGATGTTTAATAATATAATTTTTGATCACTCTAATCAGAAAGGTGTAACTCTAGTGTACGAAATACTAATATTTATTGGGCAGTAGGTAGCGCTGCGTCTCCTTTTTAAGTATTGTTGTTTAACAAGTGTATATCGTGTTAAAAATTGCATTATCATACGAAAATTTCACTGATGTAGAATAAAGAATCTAGGTTTCTTCTCCTTAACTATTTATTTTGCGATACACATTTTTTAAAACAGCTATATATGTCTCAATCCTTATATCAGACATATTTCATGCAAGAAAATAAACTAAAGCTATTTTAAAATTAATAATATGATTGGAGAAAGATAATTCAGTGCTTTTCAAGAACAAATAACTAAACACCATTTTTTCAAGTCAAATTCTATCATTATTCATTATTCGAAAGTCAACTCTTTCCTTGCTGCAAAAATAAGACCTTAGCTGTAAGCATGTTTCAGTGACAGAATATTTAAAAAACAAATTGCCAGTTAAATCTGGTCACAGCTTGTTACAAAACATGATGCATTTTTTTAACGACAGTAGACTGTGTTTGTCATGCTTATTAGTTGGTGATTAGGGACTCAAATTTATAACAAGAAAGTTTTTATCATTATTAAAGTTTGTCTTAGTAGATTGTTAAGATCTCTCTTTTGGATCAACCACAAAAATGAGGAAGAAGAGTCTTCTCATTTTTGATCTAATACTCCAATATTATGTACTATAAGTTAACTTAATTACATACTATTTTTCATATTCGTTTCATTTTCCGTTATTTTTTGTATATTTTACTGAACAATATTCTGATACATTCCGTTGCACTGCGACAGAATGTATTAGTATTACATTTTGGCACTTCGTAGGTGATGTCATCCAAAATTTATCGCTTTTGAGAAAGGTGGGTATGAACCCTTTAAGATGGAAAATATTCATACATTCAAATCATAAAGATGCGTTAAAATCATAGATGTAGGATTTTCAAGACAGAGATATTTCTTGTACTTAATGGTATTGTAAAAAAAAAGGGAACGTGGGTAAATTTGATGCACCAGGATCACCCATAAAGAGACCTGCAACAATTTTTACCCCAATTGTGGTAAGCAAGAATTGAGAATCCACGAACACAAAGATCAGTGACAAAAAGCCTTCACGTGCTCAACAAAACCAGAAACAACAGTAACAAAAAGAGACACATGTCACGTTTACACAAGCTGCTACCACGGCATATCTGCGCAAGCGTAGTCGCACACCTCACGTAGCTGGAGAATGAAACGGGTACTCATGCTATTTTATACGAAGAATTACCGGTCAAGTCGCCCGGCGCAGCGAGTATGGACTTCTTTGCGATCGTACTGTTGAAAAAGGTGCTGGTAAACCGTCGTCCACTAATATTAAATGGATTATGGAAAGCGGGCAAGGAGGAGTAGCGTACTTTGACTGTGACAGCCTTACGACGGAGTTTTTTGAAATGGAAACTGCTTTGTATGGTCACCAGGTAAAGCATGACTTGTAGTGGCGACATGGGGTGTAACGGCGTTTCTACAATAGGAGCAAAATAAAACTAAATTATCGAATAAATTTTCATCATTCATTTTCCGCTATCAGTTCCGACAGATGAGAAAATCTGTTTAACAAGTTTAAAATTGTGAATTAAACTTCTTTTTTGCATAACTATACTGATTATTAGTTTGATATTACAATATATATTTGGTAAGTGATTCTAGAAATAAAGTCGTTTTTAAAGAGAAATTAGTGATAATAATATTGATGAAGTATAAAGTTTCACATTTTATTCAAAATAATTGTTAGAATATCAAATAAATTAAAACGGCACCCTATGGATTTGAAAAAGCAACAACTAAAAATAAAAAATAAAAACTGTATGACGTATCTTAACTGTCTAGGGGTTTTAAACGTGCTCTGAAAGTTACCCAGACATGATAGAGGTGTAGGAATAGATGCTCAGACATCGAATTATTTATCCACGCCCCTTCCCACGCTTATAAGCTAGAGGGACCAAACTTGGCATAAGTGGTCGAGTAACAAGGATGGATTTCTTAACGGGTAATTTTTCCGGGTACAGACCTCATCGGAGTGGCTACAGAAGTAATTAAGGATAATGGAAAAGGTTGACTGGGGACCCTGTGAATCATGATGGGGCCTTTGAAACCCGCAGTGGAATGTTTTATGCTAGTATACATATAAATAAAGAGTTTATTTAGGAAACGAGATGGTAGCAGCTCTTCGAGTGCGTTACGTCTGCAGATTTCAGAAACAAAGAAATAATGTCAAAGAGAATACTCTACATCATTCAGCCATCTGTCTAAGCCAGTGATTCTGCCAGTTTTGTCAAAGTATAAAGGAAGAAAGGTATAGGTGTACTCTAAAATTACACCACAAAAAACCTTCAACGACGAATATAGACACTATCCAATCACGAATTCCTTATATTTCTGAAATCGTATACAAGTAATCCTCAGTTATTTGGCCAATCTTTTCAGTTTGTGTGTTTCGTTATAGCAAAGCCTCAACGGGCTATCTACTGTGTGCACCTTAAGTCCGAAGACTTATTGCTGTCCCTTAGGGGAACTTGAGATTGTCTAACATTTAGTAAACTTGTATATATGTACGTAATGTATAACACAATATGCTAAGTCGTCTTTTGCGTTTTTACTAATATTTTTATTTAGTATACTTTTGTATTGTAGTTTACTTTATTGTTCTTAATCTGTCCATTAGTGACATTATTTTCCTAGGTTTTGTTTGTTTGTTAATTATGCACAAAGCTACACAATGGGCTATCTGTGCTCTGCCCACCACGGGTATCGAAAACCCGGTTTATACCGTTGTAATTCCGCAGACATACCGTTGTGCCACTGGGGGACATTTTTCTAATAATAAAGTAAAATAATACATTTCGTGTGCTATGGTCATTAATAATGTAGACAGCTGAATGAAGTTACGATAACTTTACATTAATGCCAAGCTTATTTTAATTGAATTAACGATCACTGATTTAACCAGGAAAGTATTATATTATTGTAAAAAAAGGTGAATTAAAATCCCTTGCAGCATAATAGCTTTTGATAACTGATGTCACATCCTTCTGCTTAGTAAGCAAAATAAAACTCAGATTATTTAGAGTAATGACATTAAAAACTAATAAACTATAAAAGTTATAAATGAGCAAACTAAATCAGAGCACGGGAATTAAATATGAAAAACTGTAAGAAAATTCGAGAATAAAGAACATTTATTGTGTGTCTGTGTTCCAAATAAAAGTTTTATTGTAATTGAATATGCGCATTTTTTCAAGAAAATTGTTCGTAAAGATAATATAGCATCACACTGTTTCAGTGAGTGCTCACAAGCAGGTGATGCCAGGTTGCCAAGAACACGACAATTCCATTAGCGATAAGCGCATTAGAATAAACAAAGTACAGGAATCGACAGAAATGAAAATACAACGGCATTTTTCTCAGGCTCTAAGGATTGTACTCAACACTTTCAGACTTTCATTGTTCGCTTTGGAAGTAAATGAAGATAAAGAAAATAAAGTTCATTCCGTCAGCATTTCTATCCAGATCTCGTTTCAGTGGAAGTATAAACGTTATATTGTCTTTCTTTTGGCAAACCAATACCCTATTTCATATCTTAAATGTTATTTCTGGCTGCTTATCTACAGAGAAAGTGGAGATGCATTGAAGAAGTGTAAATCTTATTCTGTAAAAGGAAAAACCAGAAGAAACTTCTTTTCAAACTGGAGAGAATATTGGAGGTTAAACAAGTTTTCTCTAGAGTATGATTTATTTTGTGAATAAAAAATTATAAACCTTAACATGTTTTAATTACCCAAACTTCAACTAAATAATAAAAATGTACTCGAACCACTTCCTTTAAAATAAGAAAAAGAAAAAAAAATACAAGCAGTAGTGAATAAAAGGAGATGATATATGAATAGGGAAGAAATCAAAGTCCTGAAAATATCCAATTTAAAACTGTGGGAAGGGTGAAGTGAAACCTAGAGTTAACAATGTTCTTTTAGTTTTAAAGGACAGGTTATTGCTTTTATATACAATTAAACTTTGGTCAGTGTTTCGCACTGTGAGGTTTTCGTAAGCTTCAACTAGCTGCACGGTTTTCTAATGGGCAGTGCCTATACACCTTTATACAATCAGTGAGTCTCTTTGTGTAATCAAACCGAAAGGAGAAAGTACGACAATGTTTATGAGTCTGATTATGTGGAGAAATGTAGTTTGAAGTTAGGCGAAGCAATTTAGTAAATGTAGCTAAATATTTTATTATCAATATGCTACCTACACTGATCAGAC